GGGGGGGGGGGGTGGGCTCATTTCTTTTCAGAAGTGTGGAGGGTAGCAGGCCGGAACAGAACTGCTCCTTACCATGGAAGTGTTTCAGCTTCTCTTGAAATTTTGAGTAGAGTCCCCTAAGCATGTGCTCATGAGCGCTCAACGTTTGCTTGCTCGAAGCTTGGAGAGAGTGTGCAATTGAAATATGAAGTTGTCTGCAATGGCATCAAGGGTCGCTGTGTCGTAGTGGTACTGCTTTCCTTATCCAGGCGACCCTGTATTCTTGCGCTCCCCGCCGCTGTAGCAGTTTTAAAAACTGCAGTGGCTGTAACATACCCTTACTATATATAAGTCGGGGCCTTAGACAAATCTTTCTCGGTCTCCTAACAGTCCAGAAGCAGGAAAAAATGAGCTAAGGTGAGGGACGAGTCAACAAATCAACTTAGGGAGATTAATCGGCGGGCGGAGCGTTCTTGCATTGTGCGGCGCAGTTCCCACACAGGTTTATAACTCTATTCAATGAAGACATGGAGATCAGAAAAAAGAAGAGTGGGCAAGGCCTTATGAGTGCTGGACAATTAGCAAAGCTCTGCCTACGATGGGCGGACCTTGCATTGATATGTAAGCTGCTTTTCAAATATAAATAACTCTATTATCACTAACAAACTGAGGGAGATTCACCGGTAGGCGGAGCGTTCTCGCATTGGACGGCGCAGTTCCCACTATTACATTCACATTTGTTCTATTACATCTTGCGGGAAAAAAGTGGCAAGATGTAATAGAACAAATGTGGTGAAATCGCGGAAGTGGACAGGGTTTGCTTTAAATGTGCGGTTCTTGAATCGAAAATTCTTAGACTGAAATACGTTTTAGGACGCGGAAAAAGGGTGTCTAGAGGTAGTAGCAGGAATGTGGTCACCCTGAAGTGGGAGGGTTTTGCAACGAGGGGAGTGAAGCCGAAAACAAAAATCATAACTATGCTCAGACACGTTTGGAACGCTGCAAAAAGTGGTTTTTAGAACGTTCTAGAACATGCGGAAAGTGGTCCGAGGCTATAAAAGGAATGTGTCAAATCTTTGAAGTGGCCTGGGCTTGCAAAAAGATGGGCGCAGCGGAGATCAGAAATTTATAGCACTGTTGTCAACATTCCACTATCATTCTACATTTGAAATCACCATCATCAGTCTTTACTTATGAAGTCATCCACTTACTATATATGAGGAATTCGTCTGTCTTTCAAAATTCGGTACTACCTGAAGAAGTCGGGTCCGGGAACTTCTCCCCTAACACGGCGTCGCACACGCCGCAC